CGTGGTACGTGTGGGCGATGGCGGGGGCCACCAGCCCGCAGGAGAGCAGCCAGATGCCCCCCACCACGGAGATGCAGCTGGTGACCGAGATGCGCTTCTTCAGGGGGTGCACGGTGGCGTAGTACCTGCGGGGAGAGAAACAGGGGAGCCCGAGCCCCAGAGCCTTCCCCCAGCCACCCCCACGGCGCTTCCCGGACACTTGGCGAAGGCAGAAGGGCCGGCGTGAGGGGCTGCGGGAGGCCGAGCCCACTGGCTGCAGGAGCTGGGAAAGGGCTGGCTGGGGACAGCGGGGACAACCATGATCCCGTGCCCTGCCACGGGGCCCATGGAGGCACCAGGTCGCTTCTGCGGTTTTGGGAAGCGGAGCATCCCTCCCGCAGCCTGTGTCTGAACCTGCTTTGAGGACCGCAGGCAGCACCGAGTGAATAACAATAAAAGCCGGCAATTCATAGAATCATCGAATCGTGTAGGTTGGAAAAGCCCTTTAAGATCATCCAGTCCAACCATTAACCTACACTACCAAGCCCACACTAAACCAATCAAGAGTAGACTAGACTGAACCATGTGCCCCAGTGCCACCTCTGCCCGTTTTTTGAACACCTCCAGGGATGGGGACTCCATCACCTCTCTGGGCAGCCTGCTCCAATGCTTGACTACCCTTTCCATGAAGAAATTTCTCCTAATATCCAACCTAAACCTCCCCTGGCGCAGCTTGAGCCCATTTCCTCTTGTCCTAGATTCCTCTTTTACTTCCTCCTTCCCTGAGCATCTTCCACTCCTCTCCATGCTGCCTCATCTTACGATCAAGGGCTTGCCCTAAGTGAGCTCCCAGCGAGGTGTCTTCAGTGACCATGGTTTGATTTTATGCAGCTCCTTCGCACACTAAGTGCTCTGCCCCCTGCAACAGCCCGTGCTGGCTGCTGCTCAGTATTGCAGCGTTTGCTATTGCAACGATTCATATCGCAACATTTCATATTGCGGGGTTTGGTAGCGCAACGCGCAGCCCCATTGCCCGTGCAGAGGAAAACACCGACAGCTCTTTGGCACGTGCTTTGCTCAAGGGCTCACACTGAAGTCCAAGCAGAGCCCCGGCGCGGCTGCATGCTCCCCCTCATCGGAGATGGAGGGATTTGGGCTGAAATCATCCATTTGGGATAAACTCCTGTCCTGGTTTCAGCTGGGACAGAGTTCATTTTCTTCCTAGTAGCAGGCACAGTGCTGTGGTTTGGATTTAGTAGGAGAAGAATGCTGATAACACACTGATGGTTTAGTTGTTGCTCAGCACTGCTTATGCCAGTCAAGGGCTTTTCAGCTTCCCAGGCTCTGCCAGGGGCACAAGGAGCTGGGAGGGGGCACAGCCAGAAGAGTTGATCCCAACTGCCCCCATCACGTACCTCGTCATGGGCAGTATAGAAACTGGGGGGGGTTGGCCGGGGAGCAGCGATCACTGCTCAGGGACTGGCTGGGTATCGGTTGGCGGGTGGTGAGCAACTGCATTGTGCATCGCTTGCTTTGGATATTGTTATTATCATTATTATATTGTTATTATTATCATTACCATTTTACCTTATTTCAATTATTAACCTGTTCTTATCTCAGCCCAGGAGTGTTTCTCACTCTCACTCCTCCGATTCTCTCCCCCATCCCACCGGGGCAGGGGCAGTGAGCGATGGCTGCGTGGTGCTGAGCTGCTGCCTGGGGCTGAGCCACAATAATCCCAATGACGTTTTAGGAACACGCTGAGAACAGTATAACTTGATGGCTGCTTCTTTAGCAGGAGAAACGTAAGCAAATCATTCTCACCACGCCCCCCCCCCCCAAAAAAAAAAAAACACGGTGTTGCAGAAGCCACTTTTTTTTACCAGCACTCCTGGGGACATGTCAAGCCCCCAGCGAGTGGAGCACAGCTCTGCCAGCAGCCCAGGCTTTCTCAGCCATTCTGCTCAAATCTTCCCAGGTTTTTTTTTTTTTGCCCTTCCCATCACAGCCTTGCCCCGTCTCCCCCGGGGCAGAAGCAAACCGGCATGAGCGGCACGAGAGGCACTCGCGGCGCTGCCGGCATCGCACCCATCCCCGCAGGGTTTGCAGCATCTTTTACGAGATGAGATCTCTATGGAAACAGGGCTTTTATAAACCACCCCCCCGTCAGCCCCTGCCCGGGTCCGCTCAGGGAGGCACAAGTGCTCTCCACTTGGGGGCCAGAACACGGCGTGATTTGGGTGCAAATTTATCCAGCAAAGTATGAAGCCCCGGGTACAAACTCCAAGAGCCCTTTTGCGAGAGCCATGCTTGCCGGGAGCACAGACCTGGCTGTGGGCGGTCTGGATTTCGGTAGAGATGGCTTTGTACAGGCAGGCATGAAACTGCACAACAGCGTTTCCCCATGCAAAATAGCAGCCAGCCAAACAACCTCACTACACTTCCTCCACCCAAGGCCGAGTCCCGATGCTAAAGAAAAGGCTGCAGAGAGACTGCAAAGATCCCCTGGGTTTTTGCTTTTCCAATTTTGAGTATTCAGCCCATAACACCCCGAGCCGAGCGAGCAGTAGCCTTGGGGGTCCGTGGGGACAGACCTGGACCCCCACACCATCCACCCCACCAGCGCCTACCTGTCAACCGCTATGGCTGTGAGCGTGAAGACGGAGACGTAGACCGTCATGGGCTGCATCAGGAAGACGAAATAGCACAAAAACTTCCCGAAAACCCAGCCCTGGGGGTTGAAGGCATAGGCCAAGGTGAAGGGCACGCATGTGGCGCACATCAGCATGTCAGAGAAAGCTAGGTTGCCGATGAAGAAGTTGGTGACGTTGTGCATCTTCTTGGTCTTGCAGATGACGTAGAGGAGCAGGTAGTTGCCGAAGACGCCGACGAGGACGACCAGGGCGTAGCAGGGGATGATGAGGGGTTTGAAGGACTGGATGAGCTGCACCCCGGTGAACTGCGCGCTGGCGTTGGAGCGGTTCTGCAGGGCGAGCTCGTAGATGGTGGCGTTGGTCACGTCCCTGTCCCCATCGGGCTCCATGGCTGCAGCTGAGACCCAAGAAACCCCTCGCTTCGGCCAGCCTCAGCACTCCAAAATCCGTCTGTTGCAGGTTTCAGGTGTCCGTGGAGTGCATCCTGCTCCTTGTCACAGCTTTGCCATGGCTGTCCTCCCCCGCAGCTTGGGATGGCAGCTTCGTCCTGCAGGCTCCTGGGGAGGGAAATGGAAAATCAGGCTCAGAAAAGGGGTGATGCCAGCAAGCAGCCCTGCGTCGGGAGCGAGAGGCAGCCCCGGGCTCTGCAGCAGTTACGGCTCGAGGGGGAAGAGGAGGAGGAGAAAAGCAGTGGGGCTGACCATGGGCTCAGGGGAAGCACTTACCGAAATCCAGCCTCATCAACACCCCTTTAAAAGAAGAGTTTGCAGCAATCCTGCCTCTGCCCCAGCCCAGCCAGCACAGAGGGGCAGGTGCTGGCAGAAGAAAAAGGGAAGCGGCAGCTGAGCCAGAAAATAGCTCCTAATGTTTCTGGAAATAACAAAGGACATTAATGGATAAACGAATAAAGATGCTCTGCTACTTTTGCTCTGCCTCAAAGCCTCGTGCGCCTGCACCCTGCTCATCCATCCCCCTAACGAGGTTAACCAGGCTCTCCTCCTCAAATGCTAAGTCTGGCAGCAGGCAGTCTGGGTTTCGTTGCTGCTCCAATTCAGGGGGCTCAGCCGAGGCATTTTCACAGACCCCAGCACGGCACGGCCGAAAGCAATGTTTTCATGTAATCAGCTGCAAAGGCAATGGGATGCAGGGCAAGGAGGAAATTCAGGGGCAAAAATTAGATCAGTCCTGCATCCCAGGATTCCCATCCCAGCACACAGTGCTTGCTGCCAGACCCCCAGGACCCCCGGCCCAGTGCAGCCCTCTCTCCCGGGCTGCTCCACATCCCCTGCCTCCCTCCTGCCCACTGAATCATCTCACCACCGGCTGCAGTCCAACTTTAATTTCCTGGGCTATTTCCATA